CAGTGCAATAAATTCACGTTGAAGTGTTTTTTTTTAATTTAAGAAATGTATTCAGCTATTCAGCTATAAGTCCATGTAGAGTTTCTAGTTTGTATTGAATAATTGAAAATTTCAGTTTGAAATAATATTTATGGCACGCCAAATTCACAAAAAATGAGATAATCATAGTTTCACAATTGATAAACTAGGTTTATCGACTGTAAACTATAGTTTACAAACCGTAAACTATAGTTAACGATTCGTTAAGTATAGTTTTCATCTGTAAAACTATATTTAACGGTTGTTAACTATAGTTTACGAATGTTAATGTAAGTTTTTCTGTCTGTAATAAAGCGTTAACAATAGATTTTGTTGATAAACATATATCACGTTTGTAAACTATAGTTTACAATCGTAAACTATAGTTAAGAGTTGTTAATCATAGTTTCACAAATTGTGAAACTATATTTATCAGTATTTATTTGTAAACTATAGTTTACAAATCGTGAAACTGTATTTATCAGATAATCTGTTTTGCAATCGCAAATAATTGTTTTCGGTGTTAAGTATAGTTTACGTTGTGAAACATAGATTATCGCGTTAACTATGGTTTACAGATGTGAATTATAGATTAACGTTGTTTACTATAGTTTACGGTTTGTAAACTGTAGTTTACAACCGATAAACCTAGTTTACGATTGTGAAACTATGATTATCTCATTTTTGTGAATTTGGCGTGCCATAAATATTTAAAACTGAAATTTTCAATAATTCAATACAAACTAGAAATTCTATTTGAATGGCTGAATACATTTCTTCAATAATAAAAATTATGCACAAGTAATGCCAACAAATATTAAGCTGTTTTCCGCAGTATTGTTAACCCACATCAGCCGACATCAATGTTCCGCACTTCATGACTGCCTATCCCTGTCTATTCGATTGTCATCAAAAATAATATTGATTTTGATTTTTTTTTGTTTTTGTAGAGCTACCCATTTAATGACGACTTACAATGAACCAAACAACTTTAGATTACCTTAACACAAAACCCCACAGATTAATTTTTAATCGATTGACTAGTAATAGCTATCGTTGTGGCTGATTGCTGCTATTTTACAATTTTAATGAGGGTACCAGTAGATGTACATTCAATCTACAAACTCGTATACCATGAAAAATTCCTCTTAACTACAAGGCCGTCAGGACGGAGGAGGGAGGGGGTGCGTTGGGTACAAACAGCTCAAACAATTTCAAAACAATCAAATTCATTACTGGTATCTAATCTAAAGGAATCCAAGAGGACACAGTATATATAGATACAAACATTAACACACAACTTAATTTGTCTTTTTTACATTTCAACATTTCCCAAAACTTTTGAATGCTTGCATTTATATTTCACAGAATGAAACTTGTAGTAAATATACTTATATTGTGTTTTTTTTAATGTGTAATAAAAAATTTGTTTAAATCATTCTGATTGTACACACATGTACTCTGTAGTCAATATTAAAAAGATGCCCGAATTTCTGATTCACTATATAAATTGGGGGTTTTGAAGATCAGATCTTCCAACAATCGGTCAGAATTTCCATGGGTATCTTATGCGCCCCGTTATTGACAGATCCTATTTGTATTGATAATTTATTCAAAATATTATATATGAGAAGGAAACACATTTCATGTAGCCTTCGACTCGACATTTCATATATTGACGACGTATTGTCAATTCACAAAAATTTACTTCTATTCATGTCAACACAATATGTTCCGAAAATAAAAGACACCATAGAGTCTGGCACATGTGTTCATATTTCTGATATCCTTTGTTGTCAAAAAGAAAATTAATTTTTTTCTTCAACTTGTGGATTTTACTGTCATCAAAAGCAAATTATGCTATGTTTCCATTTACTGTTAGGATCGTAAGTACCTCTTCACAAGTTTTCTATCGTCAACTTTCTTTACTTTTGTTGTGCTATATCATTATAACCTGCATGTGGGGTTTATGTCTTCCATTTTATTCAATACGAAAAAGCATTCTCACATAACAAGAATTTCTAAAACGAAAAACAAACTATTGGCAAGCAAGCTGAAGAAACTTGGATGTCAACACTCTCGTTTAAAGTAACCATTTCGCAAGTTCTATGGTCGATAAAATGACCTTGTCAGCAAACAATCTATCGTTAAGCCGAATGCTGACTGACTTTTTTCATTTTCATTGTTAGGTCATTATTTACACTTTGAAATGTCTACGGATCAACGTGGACTTTTTTTCGTTTTCCTGTTCATAATAAGGAGTACTACAAGTCGGGTGTGACCGGTCAACGGGGTTGCTTACTCCTCCATGGCATCTAGTCCTACCACCTCTGATGTTTTAGAGGCCTGTCTTTGCTCTACTCCCTGTTTTTATGGTTTTGTTGAACGTTTGAGCTTAATAACTGTCCGTTTTATCTCCATATCTTATATAATGTTCAAGAAAACAGCATTTCTTGATTCCGAAGCTAATAATATTAGGCATAAATATTTTTTTTAAATGTTATTTTTATTTAAGATAATTTAGTTGTTTTGTTTCATCCTTTGTTCATAAGAGGAGAAGAATTAAATGCAAATTTCTTCTTTATTTGGTACATTCCTTGGAGATGTTATTGTTTGTGTGTAAATCTTGTGTAAACATGTAATATCATGAACAGTATACTCACTAAGGTGCTTGCAACCATCATTGTTCATGATTATATCAGCGGTATAATCTGAGATTTTACGTATTTCAACGGAAAATTATATTTGTGTTGTGTAATCTTTTTTTCACATTCTGACAAATATGTCATGTAGTTTTAAGCGATCTACCATTGATAGGATTGAGCAATAAAAAAAAAGGCCCATAGGCCACATCGCTCACCTGAGTAACTTTGGTGATGCATGCCGTTCTTTACCAGATTTCCTCCCTTGTAATACCTAATGTGGCCTCGCCGTAACCCCCCCCCCCCCGTCACAATTTTAACAATTTAGAATCTACACTACATGTACCCCAGGAGGCTTCCACATAAGTTTCAGCTTTTCTGGCTTTGTGGTTCTTGAGAAGAAGATTTTTAAAAGTTTTTTTCCTATATATTTCTATGTAAAATTTTGATTCCCTATTGTTTTTTAAAAATTTTGAGTCTTCACTACCCAAGGTTGCTTCCACATAAGTTTCAGCTTTTCTGGCCCAATGGTTTTTGAGAAGAAAATTTTTAAAGTTTTTTCACTTGTATTTCTATGTAAAACTTTGATTCCCTATTGCGTCCCCGCCCTACTCTTGGGGTTCATGATTTGAAGAATTTAGAATATACACTACCCCAGCTAGGATGCTTCCATATAAGTTTCAGAGTTTTTGCCCAGTGGTTCTTGAGAAGAAGTTTTTTAATGACCCCATTCTATTTTTGTCTTTTCTTGATTATCTCTCCTTGTGAAGGAACTTGGCCCTTTCTTTTATGAAGTTCACCATTTTTGATCCTCTATCAACATAATTCTATGCAAAGATTAGTTAAAACTGGTTTAGTGGTTCCAGAGAAGAAGCTGAAAATGTTCAAATTATAGCACATGATGGACAACATGTCACACAATGACAGACAAAAACAACTAGAAATTGGTTACTGCTACAGTTTTGCAGCTAGCAATTTTACATTAAAAAAGACTCTTAGGACCTAAAAACAAAATAACCAAGTAGACTCCCTCTTCCTCTCTCATTATCTTGGTATCAATCCTCAAAGATATGTATAAAAGTACTTTGTAATAATCAAGTAACTAAAATACTTTATATAGTTTTATTGTTGTCCCTTTTATTCTTGACAGATTTGTAATTGATCTTATTACCAACACCATCACAGACTTCACAGGTTATGCAATGATTATGATATACCATTTTAAACAATCGATGGTATAATACAACCTAAAAATTGAATATGACAGGCATTGATCATTAAGACGAACTTTGAAAATGAAAAAAATAATAATAATATCTAAAGATCATAAATTGAACTGTAATACTTTGTGCTAATTCACACATTGCCCAAAGAAATGTTTAGTACACTGAATTTCAGGATGGTTAATTCCAGCCACTTCCTGTTAAAGCAAATTTTACAATCAATACCCACACTAATAGAAGTTTGACTGCAAAAGCAAAATGACAGTCATGGATTGCAAATAACGTTATTTTCAGGTAAATGAATATTTGATAAGAACAAAACAGTGACATTACACCAGCCATCCACTTTAACAGCTGTGGGTGGTGCCTGCATGGTCACCTCAAATCTTGTCATGCCAGTGATTCTTTTCAAACATTTCAATAAATAATCATATAAAAATTCAGACCTGGACCAATAACATAATTAAAAATTAAAACTTTTTTGAGTAACCATGGCATTGTCCTTAGTGTAGTCTACTGTGTGCCATTTCAAATCAAAACTGTAAAGTTTTCAAAAAATTTCAAAGTCTTTTTTAGTAACCAAAAAAAAATCAAAAACTGATGCACTATTAAATGTATCATCAAAATACTGCCAAAAGGATTTTTCAATAGGAAACATCACTCTCTGTGTGCCATCAAATTAAAACTGCACAAATGTAACCATGGCAACACCGTAAGGTATTTTATGTATCTTAGTGTAGTCTACTCAATTTTTGTGAGGAAACGTTGGAATTTCAAAGAAAATAGCAATATCCCAATGCAAAAGATAAAAGTTATATTGAAATCTGTAGGAGGAGTAGCGTTTTAAAGGAATTTCAAATAACCACATTAAAAAAACTGCACTATTTTATGTAATGTCACCCAAGTGAAATCAGCATACCATAAAACTGGAACTTTTAATTGTGCAAAGTATCAAAGATTACTATTTATAAATTAATAAACTTCTTCTTTTTTTTCATCATTGTCCTTCTTGTGTGAAATAATGAAAAAAAGTCAACAAAAAAAAAAAATTTTGTGAGGATGATTGTTAAAGTAGCAATACCTATATAAAAATACACACTACTGAAAAACTCAGGATCACTTTTGTCGCAAACTGTAAATCTCAAATAAAAGAAAAAATAAATTTCAATAAATATTACATGAACTATTCAAGGATAAGTTTTATATAATTATTTAACCTAAAATTACAATAACATCTCATTTTGACATCTTAAATTATACATGGCCTATTTATATGGTTATATTCATGGAAACAACATACTGACATAAAACACAGATGTTACTAACTGTAATATTTGCACTGCATTTGTGTACATCTGTCCATTTGAAATATATATTACACACAGAGATCCAACTTCACAAGGTAGCAACAGGTAATCCCATATATGTATAAACAGTACATCAAATGCTGGTATACAATTCTCAAACCCAACAACAAATGTAAATGTACATGTACAATCTTGGCTTCACTCTCCATATTTTGAAAGACATAAAGCAAAAAAGCAAGGATGAGAAAATTAATATTTGACACATACATTTTACAGTGATACTTGGTCATCATTTAACTTCAATCACTGAAGTTTTGATAATTTCTTGTTTTTTCCCAAAAAAAATTACACTTAAAAAACATTATACAGGTTGACACCAAAAAGTCATTTTTTTTTTTCAAAATATTAAGCAATTATTTTACAGCTTGATTTACCTTCAAATAAACATATACAAGGGTCAACAACTCTGATGTACAATCTAATAACAATTTCACACTGTGAACTTCACTGTTGGCATCAGTGTTCACACAATTAGTTCTATACTTAGTATTTCTACTGTCCTTGAAAATAACTTCAACATCAAATCAACGTGTATAGCATTTCAAACAAAACAGTAAATGTTAATGAAAAAAGTCAATTGGCTATGTACAGCACATACTATTACAGTTCTCAGATAAGCTTGGACATTCAATTAGGTGTGGCATTCTCGGCACAACCTAATTAGCGTCTGTCAAATGGGGAATAGATTCTCATTGGTTAAGAAATTAATAACATCAGGAACTTTAAATTGTTGTATACAACGATGAGATGAATTAATCTCCACCTCTTTGCTGGAAGTGACAATGTTATTGGTTATTCAATATACTAATTGGCAATGACCCGAACTTCTACCCTATGTATATTTCAACAGTGAAAGAAATCTGTGTAAATTTCAGAAGCTAATTATGTGACATTGAGAAGGCCATGCCTTACTGAAAGTCCAAACTAAAGTGGAAATGGTTCTAAGTGTCTTTTTTGTTTGGGGAATTGCATGTATACTGTCAGTTTTCTACATGATGTAAACATTAAAGCATACACTGTATAAATATCAATCAGATATCCAGCTTTAAATGGTAATTGAAATCATGATTTTTTTATGAGACACAGACTCTGAATATAACAAGTCCATGGGTCACAAGGCTCACCTGAACCACAAAATATCATATTATTGGTATGTATTTCGCAAGTTGATCAATATGCACCTATACACACATATACCTCTATGTAGATTACATAACACATTCTCACAAACATTTTATATGTGCTTTTAAATGTATTAATTTTTAACAATAGATATGTCTTAAGTTTAATCTCTAATGCTCTTCTTCATCATCCTTGACTCGTGGAATTAAAGTGACCTGTGAACCATAAATAACTTAAAATTCCTAATGGAATCAAAATAACAAGTATGACCATGACAATTATCATTGAACACCATGTGATACCACAGTCCGCACCAAAGAACTTCCTCCGCGGTGGAGGAATCGGCTGAATGGATCTATTGGTCAAAAGAGAGACAACTTCATCCAGTGACTTGTGATTTGTTTTCGCTGATTTACAGATTTTTGCCAGGTCTTTATCCATGCTGCGGAGAAATCTCCTGGCATCTTTGGACTGGTCACCAGTCTGGCTTCTGATGCTGAGAGATTTCTTTATTAACAACCTCTGAGTATCCGGGTCACTCATATTACAGGTAGACTCTGAGTCTGACTCGTTACAGGTGTGTTCTGTGTCAGTTTCATCCACAACTGTTAATCCATTAAACTGAGGCTTTTCTGACTCTGTCTTTGTTTTAATTGTTTCTGTCAGAAAGGAATACTTTTTAATTGGCACTTTTATCTTCTTGAAAGCATAAAACTCTTGATCCTGAATCATGTTATTAATTCTCTTGATTTCAGCCACCTGAAAAGGAAGAAAATGGTACATATTTTATATATTCTTCAATGATTTTAGAAAACCGGTAAAATTACATACCATATCCAGGTACTTAGGAATCATGACTGTTCATGGTGGGACAATGTGCATAGTTCAACCTAATACATGTACCCATACTTTGCACCCCAGGAATACAACTTTGTCAACATATCAGTTCATTGAATGGTGATAAATAAAAGGTCTTTAGTGATAATGAAGATTTAGTTGTTGCTAAGAACTCAAATGAAAAAAAATTATTATACAACATATCAATTAGAGTCTAGATAATAAATTTACTCTATAATGCTTTTTGTTTAAAAGAAAATGTTCTAGTCCATTCTCTATAAAATGTAATTTACATAAAATAGCGAGCGAAGGGAATAGCACAGTGTCACTCATAATTGCAAGTTTTTTTGGCAACACATGGGCAAAGAGAAAATTCAGACTTTGCACATTGATCCAAACAGTTAACCCTTTAGCTCCATTGGAAGAGCACTGGACAGGCATGTCAGACACCCCAATTTCAATCCCCACCAGAGGCACATAAAATGTATCTGTTCAAGTGTTCAGTTTCAGATTTTACGAAACTGTGTTCATCCCATTCGCCACATTGTTTTCAAAATTAGTTCCAAATATCTGACGTTTTCCATGCTTTTTTTTTTTTTTTTTTTTTTTTTACAATTTTGATACTTTACATGCAATGAAAATGTCAGAACCACTGCCATTGAGAAAACTGGAAATTTTGCCACCTCTAATCGAAGTTATTTTGCAATACTTGCAAACTGAATTAAAATGCAGAATTTATTACATGTATTTATCAGTAGCATAATGCATCAAGTACTCACCCATATCACTGAATGCAAAGAAAACAGCCCTCCATATTTCAATGCAGGACTTGCAAGATTTTAAAATACATGAAATAAAAACAAATCTCGACAGTTGTCTAAAATGTTTTCATCAGATGGTATATTTAATAAATGAACAATAAAAACAATGCTGGTAATTACTTAAAAGTAATGTACTACAGAGTATTAATAAGTTGTAAGTTTGCCTGTTAATTCGGTTCGTAAGTATCTAAAATCATCCTGATAATGCCCCCTCCAATTGGTAGGGATGTGCGATTTTATCGGTATACCGGTATATCGCGATTTCTTGTTGCGTGATACGTATCTTGATACGGAGACCTAAATACCGGTCTTTAGGTACATATTATAAAGTCCAGAAATTATTAATTTATTTGTTCAATCTTTCAAATTATAATTACAGAAAGTATAAAAAATGTAAAAAGTGAAAAGAACGGCATATTACCGTCCAAACAGAATTGATTTTATATACATAAAAATTCCAAGAAAGTACAATTTTGTTTTTCTAGCATATTTTTTAGCAAAATAATGACTTTTCATATAAAATCATTGTAAAAACTGCTTTTAAAAATATCATGATATTATCGTGATATTGTGGGAAAAAATTGTGATATATCGCGATACGAAATTTTTGGCGATACCCATCCCTACCAATTGGAGGCAATGAATTCCCAGTTTTCGTTATGGCACCAGTTCTGAGGTTTTCCAGTCGCAAGGAAAAACTAAAATATCAAAACTGTTAAAAAAAACAGAAGTCTCTGATGAGACTGTAGCTCAACTGGTCTGTACGTATAACACAGGAAAAGTAGCACTTGGATTTGAAACTTTCCAACAGGCAGCAACAAATAGAATTATGTATCTTAGTGTAGTCTACTTGTGTGCCAAGTTATATTGAAATCAAACCAAAATTGTAGAGAGTTAGCGTTTCAATGGAATTTCACAGAAATTGTTATGGAAATTGTTATTTTTAGTAACCATGACAACAACGTTCATCGAAATAAAAACAGATGCACTACATTATGTATCTTAGTGTAGTCTACTTGTGTTCCAAGTTATATGGAAATCAGACCAAAACTGTAAATTTTCTAAAAATTTTATTTTTAGTAACCATGGCAACATTTTTAAAGTAGGTATTTCATTAGTAAAAACCGGAACCACACTGGATGTGATTTTTGAACTATACTGGTTTGACTTTTACGCGTTTTAAATATCCGGTAACGATTTTGCTCGAAGTCGCTCGTGTCAACAAACGTAAAACGTTGAATTCAGTTGATAAATTAATTAAAAAGAGAAGACTTGGAAAACTTTTCGATTGACAGAGAAAAAATTAGGTAATAAAACAACATTTCTGTGAATGATACATGTGTAATATGCCGCGCCGATAACACGGACTACGAACATGCTACATCAGTACATGAAAGTCGGGGCGACGATTGTCGGTGGCCAAGTTAAAGATAATATTGATAATTCGCAAGAAAATAATTACTACGATTTGACTTAGACAAATTTAATTAATTTTATCCATCACAAATCATAAATTCACCTTGAATAATAATTACTTCATAAGACGCATACCCCCCCCCCTTCAACCGGCTTACCCAATAATCACAATGCAAAATTATCTTTAGGCTAGAATAATAATGATTATATGAAAAAAGTTGATTCACTCGCAGCAAACTTACTTTCTTTAACAAAAGCATCCAGTTTGTGAGAATCAGTCAATCAAAAATGTGTATTATCATTGTTTTAAATATGTACAACCTTGTTAATACAAGTATACACTCACACTTTATGAGAACTACAGGAAAATGTGGCAATATATTACTTTTGGAAGAATGAAAACATGGGGGTCCCTTTAGTGTAGAGCTCATACCATGAAAAGTAATGCGTCAACATATAATTTTTTTTAGCTTATTTTTTTTCTTAAATGTTATTTAGTAAAAAGAATGCAAATTTTTGAAGTTTGAGTCCATAATTTTTTCTAAGATGACCGAGTTTGACCTCTGAAGCACATTTTCTCATATTTCATTTTGATACGTTAGCCCAGCAAAGTGCAAATAATTATAATAATTCATGCAAAACAATGAATATATATGGTTTACTAACAGGTTTCTACTCTAAAAAGTTGAATATTTAGACTTTAATTCATTTAAATACAACAAAATGTTAAATTTCAGTATTTTACATTTCGTGTAATAGGCAATAGCGAAAAAGCAAACATGTTGACATATAATTTTTCTTGTGTCTATCCATTGCTGGGATGTATATCTAACTTATAAAAGCAGATTTTTTAAGATTGAGCCCATTTAGCGCCGAGTGTAGAACTACCTTAAAGTAATTTCTATAAAAATTCTATTTTTAGTAACCATGGCAACATCGATCATCGAAATTAAAAAACGATGCACTATTTTATGTATCTTAGTGTAGTCTACTTGTGTGCAGGTTATATTGAAATCAGACCATAACTGTAGGAGGAGTACCATTTTGAAAAATTGTTTACAGACAGATGGACGGACACCTTACCATCACATAAGCTCTTCTGGTCTCTGACCAGCAGAGCTAAAAAGCATGGAAAACGTCAGATATAACTAATTCAAGACATCATTACAAAATTTTTAGTCTAAGCGAGATTCATAGTCAGAGACTAAAGATTTTGTACTGTTGCCTGAAGTGTGAATATGTTAACCACATCAAAGAAAATTGAGTACAAACCGGACATCCATACTGTAATGAAAGACTTCGTAATGTGTCGCCTTCAGTAATTTCTCTCTCATAGTAAAGCTGTTCATCATCCTCTTTAGAAATGGTCTTTGGTCCCCCTTTACGCGATCGCACGTCTGACATTTCAAATTCAACGATCTCATCTTCCTGGACATCTGCATCACCAAACACATAAACTTTTGATTTTTTAGAGTTTTGAACCTCTGCACCTAATTGTTGGTAGCTGTAAGGTTTGTTGTTAGCATTCTGCCTCGACTTTCTTGAATTCATAACACATAGACTAGGCCTTTATCATGATAGAAAGTCTGTAAATATGATCATATTGCAAAATTCTAATGGAAATATATTTTCAAGCTATACTTTACTTCATTTGTCACATTTTTGAAGCCCTGTAATGTATCGAAAGTAAAACCGGAAGACGAAACGCGTCAATGCAAAAAAATATTGAACATCGAGCCCGAGAGTTAAATCGTTTCCGGTATTGTGTCAACATTCAGAATTAGTCTTATTAGAGACAGAGAAATGGTGTGTATACCCTGTATAGTGATTCCTGTACTTCTGTGGATCTTCCACAAATTTATTCAACCACTCATCTCGACTTTTTGGCCATGGAATAAAACATCGAGCATAAAGGATGAAAAGGGCAGCATAAAAACAGATCCGGTAAATATGCAATGATAGTGTTGTAGTTTTACTTTATATTAAATGATTTGCTGGTTCTTTTCTTAGCCTGTGTTTAAACTGAACTAGAGGTACTGTGAGCAATGAGCTCACTAAATGATACCCCCGCCTCCCATATGAATAAAATGGCAGTGTCCATGTTTTGCTATTGGAAACCCAAAATATAAATAGGAGGTTCACAATGGCAGTATGTAATAAAGATTCTGGGAGAGTCTCATAAAATTTCAATCAGTGGTATGAGAGGAGTTGCAGATAAGAGATTGGTACCCAAAAGTGTAATGGACGGACGGACAGCTAGACAAACAGATGGACAGACATCCCAATTACTAAATACCCTCCCGCTTTTTCAAGCGGAGGTATAATAACTGGCTCTTTATTAAAGTTTTCTAAATCTCATTATTTGAAATCGTAATTATTTTCAGTTATATTTCAATATACACTGTATTGCTTGAATGTTACACCACTAAGTAAATCCATTTTCGGGATGTCCGTCCATCTGTTACGCTTTGGGGTACCCATCTGTTCTTATCTGCAACTCCTCTCATACCACTGAATGAAATTTGATGAGACTTTCACAGAATCTTTATTACATATTGCCATTGTGCACCTCCTATTTTATTTACTTTTTTACCCAACATATATTATTGGTTTCCCATAGCAAAACATGGTCACTGCCATTATATTCATATGGGAGGTACGGGGTATCATTTAGTGAGCTCATTGCTCACAGTACCTCTAGTGTTTATACCATATTCAATAATTGTAGAAATCTACACATTGATTTGATTATAACCATATTCAAGCTATAGCAATGCTAATATTTCATAGTTCGATACAATTTACTTTCCTGATGTAAAAAAAAAATGGTATGTAGAGTACTTTGATACAGAATTTGTATTCATTGAAAACCTAGAATAAACCAACAGAAAATGGACTTCATCAAAATGGCACATCGACAAAATTAGAAGCGTCAGCGGAAGGAGGAGGCGGCAGTAAGAAGGAGAACTGACCTTTACATCTGAACCCCCCACTGTCAAATAATTGTGTCGCCTGCAGAAATTTGGTGGTAGTAAATGTCACCATATACCACATTGAAGCCTTATGCTGATTCTAGAAGATTAAAAAAGAGAGTTCCATTCATATGTCTTCTATTTTGATTGAAATGCTGCATTGCATATTTTTTTACTAAGATAAAAAGGAGTTTCTTATGAAATTGTTATAATGTAAATTATTGATCCTTGATTGATTACAAATCTTGTCTATAAGGATATACTAATCAGTCTTTAAATTTAATGAAAGAATTAGGCTAGAAGTAAAAAAAAAGTCTTGTGAGAAGAATCTTACAAAAGTTTTTTTTTTAATATATATTATTATTGAAAGACATTCAATTTAGTAGTGGTAGTTGTCTTTCTTTCTGAATTCATGTTTGATATACAAGTAGTTTTATTAATATTGGTTTAAATAGCCAAAGGAATATCTACCACCATCATTACCTTACACCTAATATGTACTACTGCATGGTGGTACTTATCAATACTTTCATAGAATGAATCTTTTCAAATACATTGTATGTACAAAATTTACATACTGTGATAGAAGAACCATGTCAGGCATGGAAGTCCTATCTTTTTAAAATTTTTTCCTTCATCACATCCAGTGTAATACTACAATAATATAATTACCTGTAAATTTATATTTACACTGTACATTGGTTGTTGTATTAATTACATTGTTAGATAAATCATCTATATTTACTGCTTTTGTTCTTTTATGAATATTTGATCTAAAAAATCAATAAGTTTTCTATCTAATTGGAACAGATAGTGAAAAGCCTTTAGAAATCTTATTTACATAAACAGATAGATTATATTCTATTGCAAATCAGGCGCAGGCGCTTAACGTTTTTAGCCTTTCTTTTCATAAATAACACCCCCCCCCCTTATACTATAGGGGGATATTTTTATTTATAAAAAACGTCAACTCAAGTGCCTATGAAATCAGGTGAATGTTACGGGCCGTGGTCTCATTTTGTCAGTACAACAAACTGGGCATCATATGTTATCATTTATTAGATAAAAGATAACTACAGATCTGCGCTTGGATTTATAGCTTTATTATACATATCAACAAATACACTTCAATGTGAAGCGGTATAAAATAAGTGAGTAACATTTAAAAGATTGATACTTTTTTCCTGTTATAATTATAATGATTAGGCCTCTTTGGAATGAAATAGTTCATTGAAAATATATTGTTCAAAAGTGTGAATCATTTATTTTAATTGTTAAAGCAGCCAGTTTATTGTTAAATTTTCCATTGATTAAAATATATTCAGAAAAAATTCTTGTTGTTGAAAAGTTGAATCATAACCCAAAGACCCAAGAAATATTTGTTAAAGTCCAATATCTGCGACATTTATTCATGTCTTTACAAGGCTGAAATATTGAAAGCATTATTACATAATCGCTTTTTGAATATGCCTGGCTTACTTGGTATTGAAATCGAAAGCAAAAGAAGTACAGGAACTTCACAACACTACGAAAGATTTTGACAGGTAAAAACTTTTTTAAAAAATAAAAGCGACGATTATTTATAAATTTTAATCTGAAAAAGTACAGACTACAAAAAGGATGTCCAATAAACGAATATCCCATCTTTCAGGTCCGTAGGAAGCAAATTCATTTTGGAAAGGGGGGGGTACGTCATATTTTGTAATACTCTACAAAAATAGTAAAATTTGCTATTTTTTTGCATTTTTGAATACCTGATGCCCCCGTTGGTAACAAGCGGTAGAATTTTGTGTTTCGGGGGGGGCAGTATATTATATATATTTTCAGTTGGGGACACTTTCAACTACCTAAAATTCCCAGAAAAGCAAAATAAAAAACAACAGGTGTTTGTGAAACACTGATGCCCCCGTATGGCAACATAGCGAAGATAAACTTTTCTTAAATGCCAAAATATACATTTATTGGTACCTACCCAAAGTAGGGTCTTCTCACTGGAAATACAGTTGAGAAATATGAAAGCCCTAGTAGCTCCACCTGTTCAAAAGTTATGGCCAAGGATAAGATTTTGAAAGGTAGGTCAAGCCTGAAGGTCCAAGGGTCAAAGTTGTTGGTTTCTTAAGAAAGGCCTAATGTCACAAGAATTACATGTGTGAAGTATGGTTCCAAGCCCTAGCCCTATCCGTGCAAAAGTTATGACCAAGGTAAAAAGTTATAGCAAAGGTTAATAAAAAGCAGGTCAAACTCCAAGGTCAAGATCAAAGTTCTTGATATCAAATGAAAGGCCTTGTCACAAGGATTAAATATGTAGTAAAGTATGCATACACTATCCCTAACCCTTCAAAAGTTATGGTCAAGGATTGTTTTTTAAAAGTAGGTCAAACTCCAAGGTCAAGGTCAAAGTTCTTGGTATCCAATGAATAGTCTTCTCACAAGCATTATATGTGTGAAGTATGAAAGCCCTAGCCCTTACCGTTCAAAAGTTATGGCCAAGGTTAATTTTTTTTAAATAAGTGCGGAAATCTCCAAGGTCAAAATATCAAAGTTGTTGGTATCCAATGAAAGGTTTTGCCACAAAGAATACATCTATGGAGTATTAAAGTCCTGGTGTCTACCATTCAAAAGTTATGGTCAAAGTAAAAGTTTGGAATTTTTGTGTAAAAGTGGGTCAAACTCCAAGGTCAAGGTCAAAAGGTCAAATTTGGTGGTAATTAAATACACATGTGAAATATGAAACTCATAGCTCTACTAAATAAAAAAATTATGGGTATGGTTAATGTTTTTTGCGAACAAACAGACAGACAGACGGACGGACTAGACAAATAAAACTATATACCCCGAATCTTCGATTACGGGGGTATAAAAAGTCAACAGGGGTTTAATTAAGGGGGCACGAGCATATAATACCAATATTTCCTGTAGTATTACTACATGTTTTCATTAGTATACTGTATGTTTTCTATAGTATAATATGTATAATATCGGCAAAATTATTGATAGCACCCCCTCTCCGCGCCAACCTCTCCTCTCCGCGCCCACGGGTTCCTACGGCCATGCCTTTTCAATGCTATTATCTTTTTTCCACGTTTACAGATTTATATATAGCCAATCCAGGTATGATATTTACTAACCAACTATTATCCCACACTCTGTCATTATAAAACTGCACAACTTTACCCCACCATCGTTGCAAACCACGGCCAAAATGTGTGATCCTCTCCATTCTGAGAGAACAGTATGCGGACCGTGGCTTGAGATGATGCTACCCCACCGATGTAATATTTATGAATTGTTTGTGCTTATCAAATTCTTGTTTCAATCACCACAGGCCTTTGGATCGCTCAAATCCGACTTTTTTTCTTAAAAAAAAGGGGGTATACAAGTATATCATCGTCGCAAACTACGGCCAAAATGTACGAGAGCTATATGCGGACTTGTGGCTTGAGAGGATGGGTATATGTTTAAATCACATATTTTCTGGGGGTCAAATTTTCGAGGTTTTAGGGGAAAATATTCGTTTGAGGGGATTTCATTTCCTGGTTGAAAAATGTTTAGTAGCAATGCATATGAAATTTTACATTTCGAAGTAGTCCTATATTCGTGGGTCTCTCCATACCTAAACAAGGCGTGTTTGTGAAACACTGATGCCCCCATATGGCAACATAGCGAAGATTTTACTTTGCTTAAATGAAAATTTAATATATTGGTAGTACCCAAAGTAGGGTATTCTCACTGGAAATACAATTGCG